CTTACAGGGAGGGGATACTTTTTACTGATACAGTCGGATACACATATTTAGTTTTACTACTAAACTTTCATATGAAAACACATTTCATTGAGCATAAATACTTGTAGAGTCGACCTAAACACAGTAATATCCAGTGGAAAGTCTCTTTTACAGAAGGGATGACTTTCGTATTTTGAAGATTTCAGTTAGACATTTGTGCCATGGACAGAAGGCATGGGAGAGGGAGTTCAGACTTGGCAGAGGAAAACAAGTGAGTGAAAAAATTAAATAAATGATAAATGGCATGTTTGTGATGACAAGGGCAGCAGATAGGCAGTGAAAGGAAAAGTGATTGCTGTAGCTGGAGAGAGCTGTACAGTGTATGATACATGTGAACAAAATTGGCAGAGGTTGAGTCAAAAGTGAGAGCTTGACCTTTCCCTTCTCAACAACAACCATTAACCATTCAACGTCGGAATAGACCCGTTTCTGGCTCGTGCCATCTCCCCTGACAACATTAAATGACATATCTCTCTCTCTCTCTCTGTCTCTACGCTATTACTGTAAGCTTTTCTCCTCTCCTTCAAGAGGCTATAGCCTTTCAAACTACCATTCTACCTATACCTTTCTGTCTCGCTCCTCATGTCTCATGTCGACCCTCTCTTTTCACTTTCTTGCTTCTGTGACACCCAAATTCAGGGTGTTGCTTCTTCCTCTTCTTCCCACCCTCTGTCTGACTGGAGAACAACTGAGAAGTGTTGGCTGTGGTTAAGAGGTGAAGAAATTGTCACAACCCAACACCCTGATCTTCGCCCTTTAGCCAAAGGCTGACAAATGCTCTGTGGAAAATATGTTTTTTTCCCCCTTCCGTACCATCACTCCAAGAAGCACCTGCTATTTTTGGAGGTGCTTTAATAAACTGGAAACAAACGCATGTATCCTCAGCATCTTGCATGCCATGCCTTGCTCATTTTTGTGCCTCTGTCAAGTTCAAGGTTAGCTGCTCATTGTATTGAGCGCCAATTGCTCCCCCATCGGGACAGACAGAGGGGAGATGCATTAGCACCTCGGCAGGTGGCCTTCAATCTCATCTCTTCCCTCTCTTCACACCTCCCTCTCGTCCCCTAGTCCACCTCTCCATCCAAGGCCCCATGGAGGTACCTGGTCAGCCTTTGTCCAGCAGTGAATAGTGTGCGGTTGTTCACTGGTGCATGCGTGCTTATTTCGATACATGCAAGCGTGTGCAGTGTGTGAGTATCATGCATATGTGTCCGCACAGATGTGTACCTCTCATGCTTATGTGTAGCCTGACCAGATGACCATGAAGTAAACCGAAGCCTGCAGGGGGTTAAGGCTTTCCCCTTGACCTGCTGCTGAGCACTGACCTGCAGTTAATGGGTTTAAACCTTACCCAGCCACAGCCTTTTATCTCTATCACATCTCCATCTCCTGAAAGCCACAGACCAACGCACACACAAACTGACCGACAGGCAGGCTGACAGAAGCCATATGGTCCATTCACTTCCAATGGCAGGAGGTAGTCATCAAAGAACTCTCACAGCAACTCCACTCAGCCATGGACAGATAGACGGAGGGAGGGAGGGAGGGAGGGAGATGAAGGGGAAAGGAAGGGAGGGAAATTATGAGGAGAGGGAAGCAAAGAAATACGAGGAGAAAGAGGTGGGAAGTGTGGTGAAGAGAAGAGAGGAAGAGACATTCTATCAATTCAAACGAGCTAGAAGGGAGGTGGAAAGAAAGAGTGAGGAAAAGGCATGGAGGTGTACAGATCATATAAGCTCTGTGTGATGTGAGGTTTTAAGCCTTGTGAGAGGGTAAAGGCCAAGCATGGCAGTAGCTGCGGGTATGTACAGAATACTACTGATTCAACAGCACTGCCTGTTTTATGCTGACAGGAGGGTGTTATGAAATTCAGCTTAGACTGTGTCATTCTCTACTTTACACAACACAGCCCCCTCAGCATCAGAGACATCTAAAGCAAGGGCTATTTATGTGTGTGTGAGGACGAACTGAAAATTGGTAGACTATGAGAGCAGAGTG